TTAAATAATTGCGGTCAATAAATATTATGAGACTTAGGGATTTTTTAAGCGCCAAACCTGAAATGAAGTATCTGTTTACAGTCGATGGTAAAGCGTTTGTGAGTTATTTAGCTAATATCTTCGAAAAACTGAATATATTAAATAAGAAACTTCAAGAAACAAATAAAACTCTTGTTGATGCAAAAGCGAAGATATTTGGCTTCATTACCCTTATTGATTTATGTCAGAAATATATTAACAGCAAAAACTTTGAACAGTTTCATTGGCTCCAAAAATGTGAAGTAAATGATACCGCTTTACTTGTTATTGTCTATCATCTGAAAATTCTATCGGCTGATTTAAAAGAAAGATATTCTGATTCAAAACAAATTTATTTTCCAACATGGATGTTGCAGTCCATGTTAGTGGATTTGTCTGATATATCAAATATGCAGTATCAAGAAGAACTCGCAGAAATGCAAAATGATGAGTCAGTTAAAACTTTCTTTAATATGAAAGGAGTGATGGCATGACTTCTTGAGGAAACCGAAAACAAATACCCAAATTCAGTCAAATGTACAAGAAAACCATTGTTACCGATTCTATCTTCATATTTGGTTGAATGTGGATTTAGTGCTGCAAATGATTTTATTGGTAAAAAAAAAAAAAAGAAATCATCTGGATATAACACAACGGGGAGACTAGCCAAATTGGAACCTAAGATAAAATCTGTGTGCAGCAAGCATCAAGGGCAAGAATCTCACAAAATTAAAATATTAAATTATAGAAAAATCTTTATTAAAATTATTTCGAATTTGAATTTTAGTTGTTCATTATATGTTTTGAAAATTTACTTACTTTGTTTCGTTAACAATTTCCTAAGTTTCTTAAGTGAACAATTCAATTTTTTAATATTAAAAATTAGTATGTATATGTTACGTAGGGGGGCATAAGAATTTTAAAAAGGCTTAGGTGGGGCATGGTACAAAAAAGGTTGGGAAACACTGCTTTAGACATAAAAAAAAATTATAGATAAAAAATAACACTGAACGCAAATGTAAGCATTTATTTTATTTAAATATAAGCACTGTTTAAGAAAAAGTAGATAATAATTTATCAAAATGAGTGTGAAATAATGTATCAAGTTAATTCATACCATAGATAATAATAAAAATAATGAAATAAAATTAACAATTCCTATAGAGGTACTAAAAATGCCAATCTCTATCAATATTTTCCCCTTATGTACAGAATATTTTTGGTCACAGAGTAAAAAAAAAATCACAGTAACTCTTAAATATATAAATACTCCAAAGAAATTCTACTCCGACAGTATCTTCACTAATCAATCAGTAGATACAATCAGAGAGTTTAGAAAACACCTTTCATTATTTTTTTCCAAGACAAATTTAAAAGTTTTTCAATTAGATCATTACTTAGTATGTAAAATCATAGAATGTAAAATTTAGCAACGGAATGGAAAATTTGAACTAAATAACACATATTTATCAATTATACATATCAACAGATTTGTATGAATATATAACAGCTCACAATCAAATTACAATCACAGATTCAAATTAACAATTACAGGACTATTTTTTATTTAAGAATGATGCGAAAAAAATAACTATTAAAATAAAATTTTAAAATTAAATTCGGGCTTTTCAAAACATTTATTATGAGTTGTTTATTTCTATATTTAATAAGATTTTTCTCTCAACACATATTTTGTTAATATAAAAATTTTCTTTAATTGAATTCTTTCATTAAATTTTTAAGAAAAATTGGTACTTTAAATAGTAAAATCTAAAATAAAATATATATATTATTTTTGAATGTATTATCACTACACACATAATTAAAATGTGCTTAGTATACTGCTTTTCTAAAATAAAATATTTGCTCTTATATTTTTTATTAGATAATTATTTTTTAAATAATAAAATTTTTGATAAAATTAAAACATTAAGTAAATCTTACAGAAATTCATACAAGTTTCTTCCCCCTACCTCCATAAAAGGCAGAACTGGAAACTATGTAAGATCGATACTATTATTATAAATGTTGCCGTTATGAAATTTAAGACACCTTAAGCAACCTTAAAAAGCAAGAGTTAACTGATTACTTAAATTACAATAAAACATCGTAAAGGGAAAAAAAAGATCCAAGCATGTAATATTTACAAATGAGTTGCGTTGAGATATAAGACATTTTATTTATACGAACTTATTTCAAACAAGAGAGTTGTTTAGTGAAAATAAGGAAATATTACTTAATATTTTTAGACTTTTCTTTGGAAGAAATGCAAGCAGGCCAGAAGGTCATCCTTAAATTATCAGTTAGTACAACAAGGTTCTTTTTCAATGCTGGTATAAGTTGTTCTGCTCCATTTGAATTTTCCGTCAATAATGTAGAAATCAATTTTTCATGCAATGCAGTTTTTGGTCTTTTTTTAGATTTTATCTGTAAAGAAAATAATATACATACATAAAAAACATATTTAAAAATCAAAAAAAAAAAAAAAAAATATATTAAAAGTTTGTAAACTTCAAGATAAACCATTAAAATATTTGATCCTAAGAGGCACTGGTAGTAATAATAATAAAAAATCATTACTAGAATCTTGTAATTTTGTTTTAGTTCCCACACTTAGTAACACAGAAATGCATACAAAAATAAATTGAGCTAGAAATGCCAATATAACAAAAATCCAGTTTTGAAAACATTGTTCATAAACAAAATTTTTTTGTAAACCAAATTGTTGCTTTTCAAATTTTGTAATTAAAATGAATTGATTAATTAAATTTCGCTTATGATTCATACGACTGAACTTCAACTTGTTTACTTCAAAGTATAATAATTTAGAACACAAAGAAAGTTAGGTATTGATAAAACTGTTACTTCAATATATTTATAACCTAGAAATTAATTTTCTTTTTGTCTCAAAAGGCAAAATTAATCGACAGTTGCTGTGATAATCTGGATCATTCGCTGTCGTAGGGAGGGTTTCTGCTACCAGACATAAGATAAACTAATCATTACAATATAAAAAAAAAATAGTAACTACACATTACCTGAGAGTAATGATCATTGTAATTAATCTCAACCACATTTTGTAGTTCTTGAGAAAAGTTTTGGACATCAGACTGTAATTTAGTGTCATTTTTAGGGCCACTTTTTTGCAGTGCTTCATATATCACTGAAGACATATAAGTTTTCATCTCTGATTCTTTCTTTCTTCTTTCATCTGAATTAATATTATCCTAAAAGTTTAACCTTGCTGATTACATGGAGAAAACTCAATTCAATAATGTAATATGAGTAACTCAGAAATTTGCATGGATAATTGTAAATATAAACATGCAATAAAGAAGATAAATGCCAACAATGAAATTCACAAATCACTGCAATGAGGGTTTAGATTTCAACAAAGAAGTAATAAAAGGAGAGAAGAGAAAACTTGCTTGTCTTTTTACTTTTCCGCAGTCATTTGGGGTTTAGACACCAAGGAAGAGTTTTTCGTTTTAAAAAAAGAAAAGAAACTGTGACACATTTCAAAAAGAAAATTATTGAATTTTTAATAGAGTAGTCAATTAGTATGATTGAGGAAAGGGATGTAAAATATTTTTCAATGACAATTATTAATAATTTTAAACACCATTAATCTATCGGTAGGAAAGTAGATAATACAATATAAGGTAGCATGAATTAAATTTAGAACAAAATGTATGACTAAGCTTCAGTCATACATGGATTAAAGGCTTGTACAGAACAGGAGCTGTTGCATAACTTAGGGGCTCTTTTATCACAAATTAGTTAACATTGATCATGTATTGAGCTATGATAACTAGTTTAAAACATACTAAATTCCAGTCAAGTATGTTAGTAAATAATTAAATCAATTGCAGTTTGAGTTTTTTAAAAATTGTAATATGTAAAATGCTAATTTAATAATTTTATTCCTTTAAAAAATGTGGTTTAATAATTGTGCTAATTGTACTAAGCATTGAAATGCATTAACAGTTATGCATTTATAAAAAAAAATGTGATTAAATTACACATATGAAATATTCTTTTATTAGTAAAGTGCTATTTTTATACAAACTGTATATCTTTAGTTCTAAAGTTTTGCATGGATAATGAAACTCTGGAGCACTCATGCATACACTGTGTAAATTTTTCGTTAACAGTAAATATAAGTTTGTGGGGAAAAAAAATTCAAACATAAAAACAGATCTGTAGCTAAAACAAACTTTAAAAATAAACCCTTCTTAAATACTTAAAAATAAACTTTTTCCTTTTTAGGAAAAATTACACTCAAAATATCGAATGTATTTAGGTAATTTTTAAAAATGTTATTAAAATCAGTTTTACTCATTTAAATTTAGGGCCCTAAAATAATTGAAGGCCTGGAGCTGCAGCCCCAGCCAAACCCCCTTCAATCTGGCCCCGCAAAGCTTAAAAAGAAAAGAAAAGTAGAACAATAAACATTTATGTTACAGCTAGAATACTTTTTAAAACATTTAAATAGTAAATTTTTAAAAATTGAAGCATGCTGAAATCTGTAAATAACATTTTTGTAGAATATTTTTTAATTTTCTTCAAAAAGAGAAACATTTAATAGATAAAGAAAATTACCAAAATTGCAGGACTGTTGGTATAGTTTGAGAAATATTTATTTACAAAGTCAGAGCCCAAGAGTTGAAAAATAATCTGTTTATTAACTGGATTCATCAACTTTTTCTCTATATTTTGTTTCAAAATTTGGCTAACTTTGTATTCTACCTGAAAAAAAAATTTTTAAACTTCATTATTTGTCAGAAAAAGTATATTTTTCTAGTCAAACAGAAGAAAATGATTTAAAACTCAAAGATAAATATTTATTTATTAGTCAAAAAAATTTGCTAAATGAATTTATAAGTCTGTTTTATTTATTTTTTAATAAAATATTACCAACATTTTGTCAATCAAGCAACTATTAAAAATATATATCAGACTTGCATGCCTGACCATTGAATTTTGAATTCAATATTCTAATTATCAAGAAACCTTCTACATTGGTATTGTTTAAATTGATAAAATTAACACCATTAAGAAATTTGTGAAATTATGATTGTATGAACCAGTGTAATCCAAAGAAAATATTTTAGAGAGTAATTTCATTCTTAACCCTTTCGAGCCGACTGCCACATATATGTGCCAGCAAGAAATGCGCTCACTTCCCGGCCGACACACCCGCGTGTCAGAGAGTTTTCTCGTTCACCCTCGACCGTCACTTATTTGTGCCAGTGTTTC